GTTTGTAAATTTCGTCTAGTCTTAGTCTCATTAACGAAAATAATTTTTTATTCTCTTCATATTTTTATTTTCTGGAAGCCATTTTTTGTGGGTCATCGGCTCGTCTTCGTCACGGGAAAACAGGGCGTTGATGAAATATTTTCCCCATCGTTCCGGTTGACGAAATTAACACTGGTGCATGCTCTGTTTAAAAGTTGCTATTTGCATCGCTCATACAAGCTTACTTTCCAAAAGAAGATTTGCAATTTTTCCACTATGTTAGACTCACCATCGGTAAGTGAAAATGGGGACGAGCGCGTAGGACGGCCTTACGTAAACATATCAGAATGATTGACAATTAGGAGGACCACTTATTTAGATAATCCACCTAAAAAAATAAAAAAACCTCCACTGTACCCTTAAGTTATGTTACCAGTCTAGTTTGCTGTCCGAGTTAACATCAAGGTATTTATACTCCTCAACCACCTCCAGATAAAAAAAAATGCCGATCTAAGATATCTGAGATGTCGAAACTGTTTTTAATGTCAAAGTTAAGCAGGAGCAGATTTAAACTCACTACATGAAAAACAAATAGCAGACAGGCTGCATGGAAAATGTTTGCTCTCTGAACAAGCACTTTGACTGCTTGGTTAATGAGGATCTTTTCCTTTCACAGAGACAGAGAGAAAAAAATAAGGGGGGTATCAAAAGGGGGAAAAAAGGTAACAAATGGTTTTAATTATGTTTTACAGTGGTGAAAGGGGAGTATTAAGGTTAACAGAAGCAGTCTGACTGAGAATCACCTTGAGCTAGTACATGAATTTTAGCAAAGCTTCAAAGAGACAGAAATCACACGCAGTTTTCTTTACAACAACCTGAAGATGCAGGGATGCCCTTAATGACCAACTTGGTCAGCCCTGCTGCACAGCAGGAGATCCTGGATGACAGAGAGGAAAGACAGACCCCTAAAAAATCTCGCCAAGTCACTCTTTCATCTGCTCAGAGCCCAGCACTTCTTCTGCGATTCTTTTAAATTGGCTCGGTCAACTTTATATACCGCAAACTCGCACAAATGCACTCACACAACTGCACACATATTTTTCAAAGTGAGGAAATTCGTCCAATCTGGCTCATGAATCCCTAATGACCCCCCGGCTTTGTGCCAGGATCTGTGCCAGTTACAGCATGTTTACTGTAGTTCCACGCTCTTTTAATTACTGGATGTGGAGAAGCCACCTGCTGTTGAGGGGGCTTGGATCTCTGCCTGCAGGCCTCCTGGTAATGATGAGAAATTGGCTCGTCTCTCAGCTCTGACATCTGTCTACCAACCCTTTGCTATAGGTAATTAAACCACCTGAGCACTGGATATCAAAGGCATGCTTAGAGTAAATAGCCTAGGTCAAAGGAGGTATTGTATAATGACGTCAACCCATAATAGTGTGTGCTGGCTTTTGTTTAGAAGTCACGCAGAGTTTTAAATGTTATCTGATGGTTTCCCTCTCTCTTGCCCCTCCCCTCTCTCTAGCTGCTTCCAGTTTCAGTTTTTGCAGGCCCGCTGTGGAGTATAGGGCTCTGCCTGAGGACTTCAAACACCAGCTGAGTCGACGGACAGGTGGGAACCTAACTTGGCATGATGGTCGAGGACAGACCACAGCAGGGGGAAGAACCGTGAAGCTTCTACAGCAACCTGGCACTGAGTTCTTGCAGGTACTGAAAGCCCACTTTATAATGTCAGAGCAGCACACCTGCTTTTCTTTTATCGATATTGGAGATGCAGAACAAGTAATATATGATCTTTGCCATAAGAGAAAAGTGAATTAAATCTAAACTTATCCTTACAAAAATATGCAATAGGTTCAATACTGTTAGTATTTATTAGACAGGCAAGAAGGCTGTTGCAGAAATCAGGAAGGATGGAATTGGGAGTGCCATATCCGTCCGTCCGTCCGTCCGTCCATCCATCCATCCATGAGTGACCATTTTTAAAACTTTTTGGCATGAATTCATAGTAAACTTGTGTCTTTATTAAGCATCACAGGAAAGAACAGATAACTCTAAGCTTTTAGTCCTGAAATAATTTGACATCAAATATGTAAAGCAACCATTCATCCATCTTGATCTGCTTATCAGTCAGGGTCATCGTGGGGATGATGCACTTCTCCACCAACCCATGGATTTAAGGCAGGTTAGTCAGTCTGTCACAGGGAAACAGAGACATGCAAACATGCACTCACACACACCTAAGGGTAATTTAGAGAAGCCAGAGTACCCAAAGAGATTCCATAAATGCAGAGGAAGAATAAACAAACCCCAGAAAGACCCTAGGAAGAAAAGATGGCACCCTCAGTTCAATGATTGGGAGATCGACAGACGGACCGTGCACCAGTCTGTTGTGGTGAAGCCAGAATGGAGCCAACAGGCAAATCTCTTGATTAACTGATTGGTCTATGTTCCTACCATCTCCTTTGGTCCTGAAATCTGGATCATGCCCAAAAGAACAACATCCTGGATACAAGCTCCTGAACTAAGCTCTCTCCACTGGGTACCTAGGTACGTCCTTAGAGATAACATGGAGAGCTCGGCCATCCAGGAAGAGTATCGCACATTTTCCTCCACACTGAGAGGAATCAGCTGAGGTGTCTAGGGGATTTTGCTGCCAAAAAACCAAGAGCACACATTTTTTATTTGAGAGCAGGATTCCTTCTACTTGCACACAAAAAACTTTATATTGCTCACATTCAAAACTTCTCCTCCTTCTCAAATATTTTCTCTTCTCCATCAAATCTTTGTTTGTGCTCTGAGATCTAATGCTTCTTGCACAGATGTTTTCTTCTCTCGTTTGCTTCCAAATCAGTCTCTGCTTGAATCACAGATACCCTCGCAAACTCGTC